TGTGTATGGTAAAATGAACTGTCCCAGCACCCACATCAGGGGCTCACAGTCATTTCCACTCCAGTTCCCGCGGGTCTGACACCCTCTTCCCTCTTCTGGCCCCTACAAGCACCTGCACACATGTGGTGCACACACATATACTCAGACATATAATAAGATAACAAATATTTTTATAAAAAGAAGTTTTCATGTAAGATACAGTTTAGTGGACAGTTCATTTGGGGACAGTTCATAGTCATTTCATTTTCTGAATATATGTTATACTTAACTTTTTTGAGGCAGAGTCACATTATATAGTCCTGACTGGCCTGGAACTCACTATGTAGATTGGACTGGCCTTGAACATATAAAGATCTGCCCAGCTGCCTCCTGAGTGCTGGGATTAAAAGCATGTACTTCCACACCTGGCTTAAAACTTTTAAAGTAAAAATGATTTTTACTTTGTGTGTATGATATGGTTATTTAGGAGTGTGCATGCACAGAGGCCAGAGGTCAGCTTCAGGTACCATTTCTCAGGCTTACTATCTACCTTAATCTTGAGACAGTATCTCTCATTAGCTTTGGAGCTCAATGGTTAGGCTGGGATTACAAGCATGTACCGCCATGCCCAGCATTTCTTTGTGGATTACGAAGATCCAGCTCAGGTCCTCATGCTTTCCCAGCAATCACCTCACCAACAGAACTATTGCCCAGCCCTGATTTTTACTTTTTAAAATCAAAACATGAACTGCTACATATAGGCAAGCTGATCAAAAATATTTAAATTGTGAAGTATATGAAATAAAACTAGCACAGGGAAATGAGAGACACTCATACAGACAGACAGATAGATACACACACACACACACACACACACACACACACACGCGCGCGCGCGCGCGCGCGCGCTTCTTAGGGTGGGAATAGTCAGTGTTATATAACTAAAATGTGGCATACGCTTTAAATTGCAGACAGAATATTTGTTTTGGAAACAAAGGAAGGTATTTGTCCCAGGAAGAAAGCTTATGGACATGTCATCCCTTGCTTACCTGAATAGAGACCTCTGCTTAGCTCTCTGTCAACCATCCAGAGTTCTTTCCTTTCTTCCAATAAGGAGATCACAGCTGGTTTAGAATTGGAAAGTCCGGCTCACAGAAAAGACATGAGACATGATTATTCTGTGAGTGTCCCAGAAATCAGATCCAGTTCCTTGGTAATCAAGGAAAAGATGCCATTAAAGGAACAGAGAAAAAGATGGAGAAGATGAAGCTACCTGTTCCATTCCATTCAGCTCAAACCATTCCTCAAGGCAGCAGAAATTCAGCCGGTTATTTTAATAATCTTCAATGGAGAAGGGAGATATTCCCAAGGACAGAGTCTGAATTTCAGAAGGTAGGTGTCCTTACCCACTGAAACCAGGTGACTGAAATTCTCCAACATCACTTCTTTCTGTAAATTCATCTGAGCAGAGTCCAGGTGTTCCCATTCCTCCTGAGAGAAGTGTGTGGACACAGCCTGAAGAGTCTGATCCCGGAAATGACACACATGCATTCTCGGTGGAAAAGAGAGAAGACCGAGTAGAGGCTCTGCAGGAAAGGGCCGAGCAAATGAAGGGCTAGAATATATTTTGCTAGAGGACAAAGGGAGGTGTCTAGGCATGAGCAATAGATCGCACTTTGCCAATGACATGAAATAGAAGACATGCAGCTCAGTGAGTTGCTTCTCCTGTCTTACTTTCTCATTAAACCTCAAGGAAAGGAAACATAATAGGCCTCCAAAATATAGTATTTTTTAGTAAGATTTTAGAATGTGAGGGGGAACAAACCTAAATGCTCCAAAGAAGAAAAGACATAAAGAAACTTTCAGGAACCCTATAATACACAGACCTTGGATTCTTCCTGATACAGTTTTTGCTTTTCTGAAAGTCTGAGCACAGTTGTAGAAGATAACTCTCAGGACAACATCTGGCAGTAGACCAGGAAAACAACAGCTAAGAATAAAAGGACAGCCGGGCGGTGGTGGCGCACGCCTTTAATCCCAGCACTTGGGAGGCAGAGGCAGGTGGATCTTTGTGAGTTCGAGGACAGCCTGGTCTACAGAGCGAGATCCAGGAAAGGCACAAAGCTACACAGAGAAACCCTGTCTCGAAAAACCAAAAAAAAAAAAAAAAGAATAAAAGGACAACTATAAGGAAGATCTCCAGATGTTTGATGACATGGAAAATAGTATTTATAGGCAACTAATAGGAAAGTTAAATGGATTTGGAAAATATCCCCCATGAATCCAGAAAAATGGAGAAACAAATCAATTTACTTTCAGAAAAGCAAAAACTGTATCAGGAGGAATCCAAGGTCTATGTATTATTTGTCTCAGATTAACAATATCTGTATGATCCTAAATACATGGGCAGTAGTGAGCTAAACAACATCATGACATAAAAGTCTACTGCACGGATAAGGGAATAACAACCATGGCAGGAAAATCTCACTCCACTTATATCTAGCCTGAGGTTGCTAGAAAATGTTTATCAGAAAGTAACAGCAGGACCATTAACTGAACATATAGGGAAAATGGCAAGAGAAAAAAAAGGGCTACCACAAGAGTGGGATTGGGTAGTGGACCTGCGATCTTCATAAATTTTTAACATGTCTTAAGTTTGTAATTGACCACAACATTGTTATGTGGTGTACCACTGCATAGTGCTTCCATGTGAGCTGTCCTAGCAAATTACTGAATCTAAGGGTGGGAAGCCCTCAATTTGTGGCTGGCTGACAAATGTAGTGCTTTGGAGACCCTAAACTTGTGTTTGCTGTCTGACACAAGACTTGTGACTGCTGTCTGAAGTTAGAGCAGTCTTGTGGGACAGAGGTCCTTAACCAGTTAATACAGAGGTCTGTATTAACTCAGGATAGAATTGAATTGTAGGATATCTAGACCGTGTCTAAGAATTGGCTATTGTTTTAGAAGAGGACACATATTCCCATCTCACAGGAGAAATGAAGTTACTTCTCCTTCAGCTAAGATGGAGCAAGGGGATCCACCTACACCACAGAGTATGAAATACAATGGTAAGATGCTCTGAAAGAATTTTCCCTATATTCTCTAGAGTTTAGAGGGCACAAGACTGGCACCTATTCTCTTACTTGGACCCATTATGGGATAAAGGGACCTCAACAAAAGAATGCATGACAAAATGCCAAGCTACATGCCAGGAACTGTGACTACTGCTTCAAGTAAAGAGACATACTATTCAGTGCATTAATGTGCATTGAGAGGTTTTCAATTAGGGCGTCTCTGAGAAACTCAGAAAAGCACCCCACAGAGAGAGGAGGAATTGCTTAATAGCTTTCCAAGACAGGCCAGCAGATTTCTCAAGAAAGTCTTCTGGATATTTCTTCTTCACAATCACAGTCCTAATTGAACAGTCTCTATAGAAACTGCCTATTGTGTAGGAGGAAGAGAAGTTTAGAGTGAAGAAGTCACACCAAACATCCTCCTCCCACACTGCACACTTCAGCTTCTAAAGTAAGAAGCAAGCTTAGAGAGATCTTGAAACCAGAGTGTATTGAACTAGAAGTTGTAATTAGTAAAAATAAAACTGATTATATGAATGGAAACCATCAAATGATACCAAACAGTGAACAAAACAATCATAAGGACAACACAAGTTTTATTTTGTTGTTGTTTGTTTTCAGAGACAGGGTCTCACTGTGTAGCACTGGCTGTCTTGGATCTCGCTCTGTAGACCAGGCTGGCCTCAAACTCACAGAGATCCACCTGCTCTACCTCTCGAACACTGGGACTAAAGGTGTGCGCCACCATATCCAGTCAACACACCATACCCAGTCAACATAAATTTTAAACTAGGACAACAGCAGCAAATATGACCATGGTAGGCCAGGCAAGTACTTTATCACTGAGCTCTCTCCCCAGTGCTTAGATCAATGAAATAGAATAATAAGCTCTGAATTATATTCATGCATATAGAGATACTAGATGTATTTGCAGATTAACAACAGCACAAAGGATTTTCCAATATCTGGTTTGAGAAAAGGAGAATTAATAAGGTGGGGAGACCTGACCCTTACTTTATAGCATATACAAAAGCCAGATATAAGTAGATCATTCAAATGGGAAGTTGAAACTCATAGTTTTGGGAATGAATAGATAATAGTTGTATGATCTTGAGATACAGAGGTCTTCTTTTTAAAAAAATTAAATTTTAAATTGTGTTTTAAACAAAAATATTTTGCCTGTATGTATGTGCACCCTGGTGCCTGCTGGAGTCAGAAGAAGGTGTTGGATTTCCTGGGACTGGAGTTGTTGCACATAGTTGTGAGCGACTATGTGGGTGCTGAGAATCAAACCCAGCTCCTCTGCAAGAGTAACAAATGTTCTTAACCTCTGAGCATCTCGTCAGCCCCTTAACAGATCTTTAATATTTAAATCTTGACACACACACACACACAAAAAGCTTGACACAAATGATCTGAAGAAAAGTATAAACTCTGGCTCTTTCATGCAAAGAAATATGTGTGTTTTAAAAATGGAACTTAGCAAAACCATTTGCTAACAGGAGAATATTTATGATATTTTTAGTGAAAATGTAAGCTACAAAGGGTACATGAAGCTTAATCTGATACTGGCACAATATGAAACTCATTAAAATATTAATATCAGTTACCTATTCAATTTTAATTTTTCTTGGTAATTTCTGAGTTTTGAAATTTCTAAAATAATTATTTATTTATTTATTTACAAATAGTAAATTTCATACTTAAAACGACATTGTTCAGCAAGCAGAAGAAGAGGCTGTGGTGTGATATTTTGTAGATTAACGCTTCAAGAGGCAGTTTTCAAACAAGTGAACATTAGGTGTATGTTGAATATAAGGAACACTAGTAGGCACAGCTAGTCTTTTCTCCAATGGAGACAATATAGGGATCTATATTCAAAAGATAAACCATCACTAAGCAAGGAGGCATACAAAAAGGAAAGCCCACCATACCTTGGCTATTATTTGCAGTTCACCGTGCATTCTTTCCCTCTTCTGGGCAACTCACCTGGCAAAGGGTAAAACTGGGAGCATAAAAAAATAATTGTGACACGCCAGGTTTTTCTTAGGCCAGAGATCATTACCAGTCTTATCCCCATTATCCATCATGCATAGGGAATGGCGATCAGAGGAGACCAGGCATCCTGCCCGATTTGAATGTCTAGACTCTGAAGGAAAGGTTCCGTTTACTGCTGCCTCAGGTTAGAACCAGACCTCACCTCAGAGACAGTTCCCGGGGACAGAGTTCTGAAGTCACCACCAGAGAGGTGACAGGAGTCCCATGGTAACACGCAAGGCGCCACATATATTTAGGCGCAGTCTTACTTAAGCCACAGCTCCACAATAACCAGCCTATCAGAATGTATTACAGGCGACCCACAAAGTCCCTCGGCGCTCTGTGCCCGCCCAGTCCCAGGGCTCCAGCTCGCACGGGCCGCCCCTGAGGCCCTTCCAGTCGTCCGAGGTCGGAACCTGTCGCACCTAGCAGCAACCATACCGTACAAAGCTAGACTCGAGGGGACCCGCCAGGCAAGCAGAAACGCCCGAATTCCTGCGAGAGGCGTGTCAGGCCGCGAGGCTTTCTGGGAGATTTAGTCCACAAAGGTACAGCCACCAAGTGCCCCCGGCGCCTCCTCTGGCTGCTCCCGCAGCTGTTCAAGTCCAGCGCAGCCTCGCTGCCAGCGTCACCGTAGCGGGGCGCTAAAGGGCTCGGCCACGCGGGCGGCCCCGGCCAGCTCTCGGGTCCCTTACACAGGAAACGCAGCCAGAGGGTTGACCGGAAGTGGGATCGGGCCGCGAGGCCTTCTGGGAGCTTCTGTGCTCCGGGACATAACGGACGCGCGCTGCCGCTTGGGTCTATGGACCTGCCCGTGGGTCGGCTGCATGCAGTGTCTCTGAAATTGCGTTTCGGGGGTCTGCGGCCGGTGGCGCTGCCGGGACCCCTGCGCAGGAAGCGAGGGGGGCGCCCGCGCGATCCGGTTTGCGCCGGCCGTGGGCTGCGGACTGAGCGCGGGCTCTCAGGAGGCTCGGAGTAGCCGAGTAACAGCCGTGCGGAGTGCTCTCGGCCAGAGGACCTTACTGACTGGTGAGTTATGTGTAATTCTCATGACTTTGAGGGGGTGTCGTTGTGTGGGTGTGGGCGTTGTGTCATGGAGATGTTTGGTGGTTTGTGAGTGAGCAAGGGTGTGGTGAGTGTGAGGGTCGTGTAGCGTGTGTGATTGTACTGTGTACTGGTTCTTGGCTCTCTTGGGTTTGTAGCATGTGGCGTAACTAGTAACTAAGAAAAAAGTAAGTTTTTTTTTTTTTTTTTTTTTTTTTTTTGGTAAGGATTCCTCTTTCATTGGCCCTTTCGCGTTGGTCTTCCCTCGCCCCAACACTTTGTTCTCTAACTTTTCAGTTTTTCTTTTTATAACTTTGCAAGTTCATTATTATCTAATGGCTTGCTTGGCTTATTTATTTATTTATTATTTATTTAAGTTTGCCGTGTTGGGGATCACCCTAGCGTTTCAGTTATGCCAGGCAAAAGCTCTGAGCTACATTCCTAGCCCTGAAATTAGTTTAATAGTGGCTTAAAAAAAATAAAAAAAAAATCCCTAAGCTCAGTAGCAAGCATCAGCTTGGATTCATTCTCTAATTCATGTTAGCAGATCCACTGCATTTAGCTGATCCCGGCTGCATTTGGTTGAATCTCAGAGCAGTAGGATGCATTCAGATCTGCCCTCGATTTGTTTTTCTGGGCCTCTGGTTAAAAAGAACTGGTTCCGAAGACATTTTCTTTTCTCAATGAGTTACTGGATAATTCAAGGACTCTGCTTCCAAATGTGTCTGTATTACATTAGCCAAAGAAAAGTTGGGTGGGTAAGCTTGTAATCCACTTATAGTTTGAAAATGGGGCGGTGTTACCGAAATAACTGTTTGCCACATGAAGACACATCCGTCTTAATTCTGGGGGCTACCTTTCAGTGCAAGTGTTCTTGCTTGGCAATACTGCTTTCTCTCTCCTTTTAAAATTGCATGTGTCGGGAATTTTATATTCCAAACCCTTTGTCTTTTTGTCTCAGGTTTCTCATGAGAATAGTATCAGCTGTGCTTTTTAACTCATTTATCCGGTTTGACTGTTAATAGGTGAGTTTAATTCTGTTTTATTTATCATAATTACTGAAGAATGTTTTTATTATTTACATTTACCTTACCTCCTCTTATTTCCTCACTGGCTTGGTTTGTGATCTTGTCTCTGTTCTTAACAAAACCTAAACTTAAATAAGACATTTAAATACTTGAACACCAAGCTAGGTAGCCATCTCTTTCTGTTATTCTTGGGTAGTACATTACTTTCTCCTCCTTTAAAATTCTCAAGCCCTGTGGTAATCCCAGGACCCCGGAGGCTAGAGGAGGAGTTCATATTCAAGGCTCCTTGAGGCTAATCCATGGTACATTTAGAGAGACTGTCTCAGAATGCTGAGACAGAATTAGAAGTAAATCCCTGTTTTCATGAGATTTATGTTGGAAAGACAGTGGGTAGATACTATAATACAAATTATGCCACTTTTTAGAGTTTGAGAATTGTGGAATAAAAAGTAAACAGGTAAACTGGGTGGGTGTAGTTCAAGGCCAGCCTGAACTACCTAGTAACTTACAGGCCAGCTGGGGTTGCAGAGTAAGACCTTGATTTAAAAAAAAAAAGCAACCATATGAAGGATGTTAGGACTGTATCTCAAGCATAACACGAAGCTTCATTAAAACAATCTTTTCTGCTTTATTAGTTTTATCATACTGAACAAAGATGCATTCACTTTTCTCTATTTTTTTTCTTAGTAAAGGCTCATAGATGGTAAACTGATATAATTTAGTAGCCATTTCATTTATTTGTATCTAGTATCATGTGACAAGATTATGATTTTTACTTCAAATAAAAAGCCTTGAAATTCTAAATTACAATGTGCTTTTACCTAAATTTCTGGACTCTTGGTGTCTCTGTTGAGTACTTCACTTTAGCCTGAGGTACTGAGTCTGGGTTTGGTCCCTGAGCCCGCCTGGTTTTCCATCCAGTATCTCTAGCCAGTGACTCAGAGAGTGAGTTGTGAACAAGGAAGTGAGTGTTGGGGGCAGTATTAGTTATCTCCTGGTATGTGTATCACATTGTCTGCAAACGTAATGTTCAAACAACAGTCATCTACTGCAAAATATTGACCACTGGGGCTATCTCTGAGGCTGGCTATGACAAAGCCTGTGAGAATGCATGAGGCAAATTTGATTTCTGGTCTAAGCCTACAGGTCCTACCTCCCCCTACACTAAGACAGATCTGTGGTGTGAGTTTGAAGCCTGAGAACAGGTGTCTGCCACGGAAGGAGATCTTCTGACCTGAGACCCACACCAGAAGCTCGGGGGTCCGGGGCAGGGGTGCACTCTGCACCTGCAGACCATCTTGACCAGTCCTCCCCAGAGCCGGCAAGATCCAAATGACATCTCCACCTTGAAATACCAGCGACAGCTGTGCAACATGGAGCGGTTGACCCAGACTGTGCAGAGAAGAGGTGAGGGCAAGAGCAGAGTGTGGGTCCTTGGGAAATGTGAGAGCTGGGAAAGCTTGATGCTCCTGTCACGGAAGTTCACATGGGTATTACTGACTATACAGGATAGACATTTTATTTTGTTAATTTGACCGATTTTTTTAAATTTTGTATTTATTTTGTGTGTTTGTATCTATGCATGTGCGTGTGTGTAGGCTCAGGCATAGTGCAGAGCATGTGTGGAGGCCAGAGGACAACCTGCAGGTATTGGCTCTCTCCTAGGGACGGAGCTCAGGTTGTCAGGCCTGAAGGCAGGGGCCTACCTTCACCTGCGGAGCCATCTTACTGGCTCATCCTTTCTTAGAGAATATATTTTACTATCTTTTTAAAAATGGTGTTGTAAACTAGAAAGAGGCGTTTCCTGTTTCATCCCTTATCCCCGTTCCTACTTCTCAGCTACAGCCACTTGAACATTTTTATCTGGGTATTCATTGCTATTTTCCTGAATAATATCTGTATATGGCTAATTTTTGATTTATCAGATTTTTACAGTTTGTATCATTCAGGTCAGGACTTTTCTCTTTCTTAAAGAAATGCTGTATTGCTATGTAGCCAGTAGGGTTCATTGGACAATTTATTAACCTCCTTAAATTACATCAGACTGCATGTGTAAGTTTAGTTCTCCTCATACATTTGTCGGGAGTCTCTGGAGATTGATGTGGCACTTAACATTTCTCATGGTGCTGAGGATCAAGTTTCTAGAGGATCGTAGAGCATCTGGTCCTAAAGCTCTGCACATTCCTTTGTCTGGAATTCTGAGCAAATCTCTTTTGCTTCTTCTCTTTCCTCAGCTTGGTGTTCCCAGGACTCTGCATTTTGCCAGGAAGAAGAGGACATGACCAGATCTTTTGTACGTCCTAAACATAATTTTTCCCTGCACTGTTTTGCAGGGCAGTTGTTGTGGGGTACTGTAATCTACTGCTGAGCTGCGAAAAAATGAAATGAAAGAAAAAAAAGATTTAAAAAAATGAGAGCCAGGGGAAAGGAAGTACGGCTGTGAAGAAATAAGTGCTGTAGAATTAACTGGTTGGGTTCAAAGTTGAATGTTATCTAGAGAGTCAAAGCAAACAGACATAAAATCCATTCCATAACTTGTAGTTTCTGAAGAAAAAAACTAAGGAAAGCAAAAGCTTCTTGTTGACACTGAAACCAAAAAAAAAAAGAAATCTAAAATAGTTCCATGATTTTTTTTTTTTTTTTTTTTAATATTTTAAGCTCAGTTTTTACAAGTCAGTCTGTCTTGGCCAAAGAAAAATTATGCAGACTAGTATGTGGAGCATGCATGTCTCTTTGGAACAGTCCTACTCAAATGTGTTTTGTTTGGTTTTCAGTTTCAGCTTTTGGTAGCAAGTTAAACTAAATTATATGGATATTCTGTGGCATCCTTGCGGTTCTGTTGTTTGTAGCCTTCCAACTCTTTATCTCTAATGATCTTAGAAGATGCAGTATTCTTTGGTTTGTTTTTGAGATAAGGTCTCGCTGTGCAGCCTTGGTTTGTCTGGAGCTTGCTTTGTAGACCAGGCTGGCCTCCAACTTAGCAGTGCTCCTCCACCTGCCTCTGCTGCTCAAGTGCTAGGATTAAAGGCGTGCACCACCACCGCCCGGCCAGAATTCTTTCTTAAAACAACCTTATTTTATTTATTTGTTGCAGGGGGGGGTCAATATGTATGCCGTTAGTAAGTGTGGAGGTCAGAGGACACTCGTGGGACTCAGTTCTCTCCTCCCACCATATGGATCCCAGGGATTGACCTCAGACCATCAGGCTTGGTATCAAGTGCCTTTACCCACTGAGTCGTCTCACTGGCTCAGTACAGTGTTCTTTTCTTGAGTCTTTCTGTTTCTATATTTGAAGTTGTTCATCCTGTATTTTGAACATTTTTGTTCTTGGCTGCCTTCTTCAGCTCTCATCATCATGAAGCAGACACACGCTCTTTTTGCTGTATGATCTAGAGCAGTGGTTCTCAACCTTCCCAATGCTGCCGTCCTTCAATACAGTGCCTCATGTTGTGCTGACCCCCAACCATGAAATGATTTTTGTCGCTACTTCGTAACTGTCATTTTGCTACTGTTATGAATCATAATGTAAATATCTGTGTTTTCCAATGGTTTTAGGTGACCCCTGTGAAAGGGTCATTCAACTCCCAAAAGGGTCACAGATCACAGGTTGAGAATCACTGATCTAATGGCTCATGAGACTTTTTTCTCCTGTTGGCATAGTGTTTCTCTAGCCCTAAACAGACTTAAAGTTCAAGTTTTGACTGGTGACTGACTATAAATGCATGACAATGGATGGAGAAGTCTCCTACTTTCTTTGTGCCTCAGTTTCATAATCTAAACTGGGGACAGTAATGGAACTCACCCATAAGAATGTCAGGTGTCAAGGGCACCAGTGCTCCATAGTTGACTGGCACTGCTTACTCTCTAGCTACGGAGTCTCTCCTCTCTGAGCTGCTCTTTGGATGTGCTGATTCTGTTCAGTACTTCAGTACAACCTAGAAGATAGAGGAGAAGACTGACTGACTTGGGTTACTTCTTCAGTAAAACCTCCATAACTGTTGTGAGAAGGCAAAGCTAGGGTGTGTATATACATGTGTTTACATAATGGAGACTTTGGGGGTCCAGCCCCTCAATAGTCCCTCCCATAGTCTGGGAAGAATCTACAGTCAGCTGATAATTAATCTTTGACAATACCAAATGAATCTACATACACGGTATTCTTTAGTCCATACTCTTTATTATTCTGTGTCAGTTTTCTCTACACAGCTTCTACTCTGCTCTCATGTCTAGCTCCTTTCTTGCCTGATTTCTCTCTATATTTATCTACTGTCCCCTCTGAGGTCTATCTTAATTCTTTCATCTCAGTTCTGCCCCATCTAGGTTCTCATCCATCTAGTTCTTTCCCTTCTTACTCTCCCATCTCCTTCTTTCTCATCTTGTTCTTCCCCATCGGACTCTTCCTCATCTTCCATGTCGTTCCTCTAGTATTCTCTTCTAGTCCTTCAATCCAGTTCTTACCCATCTAGTTCTTCCATTCTCTTTTTCTCTTCTCCATCTAGTTCCTCTCTGAAAATAAAACTGCCTTTTTATCCCTTTGACCCTTATCTCTCCAAACTATCTCTGCTCTTGCCATTTCTGGCAAGTGTGCTCAGTCACTAGGCATCTTGGCTAGGCAACTTCTGTCACAGGTAGATGTACTGTAAGTTGGAACCCTTTAGTTCTGAGTTAATTGTTAAGGGTGGATCTAAAACTAGAGATAAGACTTTGGAAAGGAGAAAGTTAAGCTTAATTAGCACATCTGCCAGGCCTTCTCAAACAGATAGTCTGGATGCTTAAGTCTGTTCCTAGAGAGTGGAGAGTGCAGAGGTATCTCTGATAAGATACTTTTCGTTCATCTGGGGAAGATCCTGGCCAGATGCTGCTAGTGAGATAATGACAGAAAGGCCTGAAATTAGGGATCCTAGCTGTGTTACTGCACAGAAGGTTATCTAAATATTCCTTTAGTAGAGGGGAAATTGTGCCCAGTGAATAATGGAAAAGCTATAATAGCACATGAGAAATTCATAGCAGGAAACGGCTAATAATCAAAAGCCAATATCACCAAGACTCCTTGAGCCTCAGCTTGACCTCTGGAAGGCCCTGGATTCTTCCAGGTATTAGCTTGTCATAATCAGCTGAAATCCTACTTCATATATTTTTGCAGCTGGCAGCATTTACACACACATATTGGTAAAACATCCATACCTGTTATGAGAAGGCAAAGCTAGGAATTTTTTTTAATATCTATGTACCTACATGTATTTACACATATATATCAGGAACACACTAATTCTCAAAAATCAATAATTAAAATAATAAATTGGATAAAGAACATGAAGAATTAGAGGAAATACAGATGACCAACAAACCCTTAAAATTATGTTTATAAAAAGACAATTTAGGCCGGGCGGTGGTGGCGCACGCCTTTAATCCCAGCACTCGGGAGGCAGAGCCAGGCGGATCTCTGTGAGTTCGAGGCCAGCCTGGGCTACCAAGTGAGTCCCAGGAAAGGTGCAAAGCTACACAGAGAAACCCTGTCTTGAAAAACCAAAAAAAAATAAAAAAATAAAAAATAAATAAAAAAATAAAAAGACAATTTAGGCCAGGCAATGGTAGCACACACCTTTAATCCCAGCACTTGGGAGGCAGAGACAGGCAGATCTCTAAGTTTGAAACCAGCCTCATCTACAGAGCAAGTTCCAGGACAGCCAGGGATACACAGGGAAACCCTGTCTTGAAAAACAAAACAAAACCTAACAAACAAGACAATTTAGTAGAAGCAGTTTTTAGGTATATTTCCAATTAATGAACAATGACCAGTTTCAAACTCATTATAGAATCAGGATATAGATGTTGTCCATGGCAGTTCTTAACTGTGTATGAATAGATTACATACCAGTTAGAAGAATCCTCTACAGGACTGTGTATCATAGCTTTGTGACTGTTGTGTTCTAGATTATTCTGCTATAAGCTTTGTACAGCTTAATTCATGTAGCCATTATCGGAAGGCTGTGACAAAGATGTTATTTTAATTTTTATAGATACAGGAAGTGAAAACAGGGTTAAGAAGCTTATACAATCAGGTATCAGTGTGTGATGAACTCGGGATTCAAACCCTCACAATCTGACTCTAGTGCCCACACTCTGGTGTGGCCCTGAATAAAGAAGTGCAGGTTTTGCCAGTTGGCCTATCCCTGTCATTTGTCCTTTTTATTTGTACCTTAGTGAGTCTGTGTTTTATCAGGTTAAAACCCCTGTTACTTGCTATTAATCTGGGTTTTTTGTATATGTATATAAAGGGAGTTGATGCATTCAAGAAAACAGAGTAAGTTGTAACGCACTGATTGCATGTCTTACACAGTGAGGCTGGGCTGTAGCTCAGTTGATAAAGTGCTCTCCTAGCGTGCACAGAGAGAGCCCTGTATTGGATCCCAGCCCTGCTGCATGAACTAGATGTAGAGGCTGGAGGTTCAGAAAGTCCAGATCATCCTTGACCGTAGAGCAAGTCTCAGGACAGCCTGATCTATTTCCTTTTAAGTCTCTGTCATTTGCTTTTACTTTTTGTCAGAGTTGCAGTTTTGTTTTTGTATGGGATTTACTAATTTATTAGAGCCACTGGGAAAGAATTGTGTTTTGTTTTTTGGTGTTTTTGTTTGTTGTAAACACCTTTTTGTGGTTTCTATTCCAGAGGGTGATCCATTTCTAAAACCTTCATTGAATGGTTGAGAGCAGTGCTACTCTACATGAGGAAACTGAGAGGCTCAAATTTGCTATTTGTCAAGGTTACATGGTCAATTCTGAGCCAGAATTGGGCTTACAGTATCGGAACACAGGGCATTGTTATTAACCACTAAAAACATCTAAACCCGGCTTCATTTGAGTATCTTACTACCTTGAGATTGGGTTTGCAGCCAAGAATGTGTCAATTATCTATCTTACATGCAAAAAACATGGGTTTTTTGTTTTGTTAGGTGATATAACACACATTCGTTGTCCTTCCTAGGGTCCCTGGTTAACTGCTTGGGCACCTCTGCTTGGAGGTTGATGTGGACTGTGCAGTGAGCTCAGGCTGCTCTGTGTGTTACTTGTGAGATTGGATGGCAGGCCTGCAGCTCCCTGGGTCGGGCTCTTTGTTGCGTCACTAGAAGACTACACAAGTCGGGTTAAAGGGCGGAATCATGTTTGAGTGTTTGCTCATCTGTGCACTAACATTCCTTTTGCCTCAGCCAATGGCTGGGACTAGCCCACATTAGTAGAAGGGACGTTAGGTAAGCAGAGTGTAAGGTATACTCAGTAGTCAGTTTATCATGTAACATCAGAAAGGAGCTTTTGCAGTGCTGTATCAAACCCAAGTCCTCAGGCAGGTTACACAACATCCTCAGTTCATGAAATTGTTTTATACTGAGATTTAAAGAATCCTAAAAATAGAGAATGTAATTTCATAACTTACAAAAGAACTTTGACATATAAGTTATGTGTCATAAAATTACCTTTTTTTTATTGTATTCATAGCCATAAGCATATTGTTAGAACATTTTTATTATCCTAAAAAGAAACCGTGTATTTGCTAGCCCTCACTTCCCATTTCCCCCCAAGGCTCCAGTGTTGACAAGCACAAGTATACTTTCTATCTGTGTAGAACTGTGTGCCTGTTACAACTTTTTATATAAATAGACTCACATAACATAAGACACAATGTTTCAAGGTTCGTTTGGGTTCTGCAGCTTGTATCAGTATCAGTACTTCATTTTGTGTGTGTTGTGTATGTACTTACTCTTGGAGAGCGTGCTTGCATGTGTGTGCATGTGTCTGTAGAGACCAGAGGTGCACACCAGATGTCTTCCTCAGGTGCTCCCCACCATTAGTTTCTTTTTCCACCTTTTCTTTTTGAGACAAGGTTTCGTTATGTATCCATGGCTGGGATACTGACTCTGAGAAACTAACACAGCACTGTCTTGTTATCTGATGGATATAGTCGAAGGTCTCCAAGTGTTCATCAGATACTTTGGTTCTAATTTTAACTCTTAGTGTGTTTCATTCTTGAAAGTAGTTTCTCAGGAGCTGGAGAAATCAGCTAAGAGCATCTGTCACTCTTGTAGGGGATTAGGTTCAATTCCTAGCACCCACATGGCAGCAGCTCACAACCTTCGTTAATCCCAGCTCCAGGGGATTCAACAGGCGTGCATGTGCTGCATATACGTGCATGCTGACAAAACATTCATGCACATAAGGTAAAATAAATTTAAAATAAAATTAGAAAAACAGAAGCCATATCTTTAGTTCTCATCAGTGTCTCCAGTAAGGTGGCTGGTAGAGCCACATGGGTAGGATCAGCCTGCCATCCACTGAAGTACAACTTCAGACCAGCAGCTCCGCTCCAGGCTTGTTTTGGTGGGTGTGCCGGTGTCTTCACTCCCTGTGCAGTCTGGTGAGACAGCCTGACTTTAGAAATACCTTTCTAGGGCTGAGCAGCATTCTCCCCATGCTGCTCAGCAAACTCACCCTGAGGAAACTGTCTTGACTTCCTTTGTTTGCTATTAAGTGTGTTGCAATGTAACTAACTAGCTTTCACAGTGGAATCTGAGATGGAACTGTAACATTATTTATTAGTGCACACATGCGACAGTGTACCTGTGGAGGTCAGAAGACAGCTCTTGGGAGCAGACTTTCCTCTTCTACTGTGGGTTAGGGCGTTCGAACTCTGGTCATTAGATTTGTATGGCTGAGTCATCTTCCCAGCCCTGAGTTGTAACTTAAAAATAAAGGTTGAAAAGAAAAGGCAGACTATTTTCATGCTGCTATTTTCATCCCAGGACACAGTTCTCGAGACCCATGGAATTTGGCAGCATGTTTTGCATATAATGCTCTTTTTTTGTTTGTTTTTTGTTTTTTGAGACAGGGTTTCTCAGTGTAGCCCTGGCTGTCCTGGAACTCACTCTGGTTGACACCAGTCTGGTGTCAAACTCACAGAGATCCTCCTGCCTCTGCCTCTCGAGTGCTGGGACTGAAGGCGTGCACAACCATGCCTGGTTATATAATGCCTTCTTAAAGTCTTTGCACTTGCACAAATTCCCTGCAAATTAATAAAAATACCTGTTTGCATCAACAAAAAAGTAGTCAGGTATCGGGTTTTGTTCAACAATCTTTCTTCACCTATACTCTTTTTGTTGGGGGTTGTTTTTGTTTTTGTTTGTTTGGCAATGTTGTGGAAACCATGCTGAGATTAAAAAAAAAGGAGGATATTTACTTTCATTGTGCAAATTAATTGACAGGAAAAAACACAGCAGGGTTTGGACCCTTCCACCTCTCAACTATGTAGCAGGTTTGAGGCCCTCCTGGACTACAAGAGACCCTTTCTAAAACAACAAAAATGACTCGCCGTTCTGTTCTTCTGTTGCATTCTCTATTTAAATTCTTTGACTACTAGTTGTATCTTATTCTTTACTTAGGTTTGACAAGTGTTTGTTCAGTTTATTGAAAGCATTAAGGATTTAAGTTTTTATAAATTAAGGTATATAATAATACAGATATGATGTACACACGTACACACATAGCCTTTTTTTTTTTTTTTTTTTTTTTTTTTTTTTTTTTTTTTTGGTTTTTCGAGACAGGGTTTCTCTGTGTAGCTTTGCGCCTTTCCTGGAACTCGCTTTGGAGACCAGGCTGGCCTCGAACTCACAGAGATCCCCCTGGCTCTGCCTCCCGAGTGCTGGGATTAAAGGCGTGTGCCACCACCACCCGGCGCACATAGCCTTTTAAAGTGTAAGATTAATTTATTTTTGAGTATCCGTTCTTAAATACCAAGTATTTGCACTAAAGGTTTTTTCCCCCACGAACATTTTACTTACTGTTTTTAATGTCTGTAAGTGTTTTGTCTGCATGTCTGTCTGTGCATCATCACCTGTGTGCGGTGTCCCAGATCTCTAGTTACAGAGGATTCTGAGTTACCATGTGGGTGCGGAGAATCGAACCTGGTCCTCTGAAGAGCAGCCAGTGCTCTTAACTACTGAGCTATATTGTTTTTTAATAATTCCCTCCTCATCTAAAATCTCCCCGCCTTTCATTTTTGAGACCAGTTCTCTATGTTGTCCAGGCTGGTGTTTATCTTGACTTCACATGTAATTACAGAGATAGGCCAAAGCCTTAAGTAGTTCTTGTGAATATTTGATGGGTTTGGTTGGTCTGATTTTGGGCAGCAACAAGAAGAATGTTTCATGTTTGTATGTGTGATCACACAAACCATTGCATCAAAGGCTGCTTTTATCATCACCCTTCGTCCTGCTGTTTTATCAGTCTGCTCTGTCAACTTTGGACTGTGTGCTGCAATGCTCAGTTTTGGACTGTTTGGTGCCTTTTTCCTATGAATTCTTGTCATGGATGAGTTCACCTGTTTTCCACGAAGCCCCAGCAGTAGAAAGGGTTTCAGGTCCAGGAGTCCTTGTGTGTCCAGTTGACATCTTAAATTGTTATTTGTGGCATTCGGAGACCCTTCCTGCTGATTTGGAAAGAAAGCATAGCATGATGGGTAAAAACCTATAGCTCTGCAGCCACATTGCTTGAGCTAGAATCGTGGCTCTACCCTATGATAACCTTGCGATGGGCGTGCATTACTTTAGCTGCAGTACTCTTACCTTTTAAATGGTGTTAATACCTACTCATAGCCTTTTTAGGAAATTTTTGAAAGTTAATATGTAGCTGGGTGTGGTATTGCACGCCTTTAATCACAGCTCTCAGGAGGCAGAGGCAGGTAGATCTCTGTGAATTCCAGGCCACCCAGACCTACACAGCAAAAGTGTCTCAAAGCCAAATAAAGTTAATATGCCAAGATATTAGACATTTTAAACAGTTTAAAAACAAGAACTAGTCATCAAGTCACATTCTTTTCCAGAAATACTTAATATGTTTTTTATTTCCATTATGCTAGTATCATAGTATTAATTCTAATAAAAAACTTGAGTCTGTTTCTCTGATGTTTCACTTAGTCCTCTTTAGTCCTGTTAGCACTATATTGTGTGTTCTCTTTAACCATTCCCACTCGCCGGCCATGGATTTATTCCAGTTTTAGGTTACTGACTCACACATTCTCTTCTTCTTCCATCCTATGTCTGACTGCACACTGAATGCTTTATCTGGAAGTCCAATAGGATTTCAGAGCTTTACCTTTTCAAATATCATGCCTTTCCTTCCTGCCTGCCTCTTTCTCCTGCCCTTTGCCCTGCCCTGTCCCCTTCCTCACTAAATGGAATACCTGCTACCTGTCAGATCTGAGCTGCTTACTCCTGAGTCATGTCCGGCTGTTTGAGCCCTGACACAGAAGTCAGTGCCCACTGCCGTCAGCTGATGATCGAGGATGAATGAATGCCTGCTGACTCAGTGATTCACGTACTCTTCTAGGGTATTTTCACTCTAATAGATTACCCCCTTTATACTGCGAAACTTGGTAACTATGAAGACTTCCAAAACAATTGTTAACAAGCTTTGACAAACCCTGGTTACTTGCTAAATGAATTCTTATTTTGATCACAGGCCCCAATTTTGATGACTTCGGATTAATTGAGATTGTGTTTTTATAGAAAACAGTGACCTTCAGGGATGTGGCTGTGGACCTCACCCAGGAAGAATGGCAGCAAATGAAGCCTGCCCAGAGGAGTTTGTATCGAGATGTGATGCTAGAGACCTACAGCAACCTTGTAACAGTAGGTAAGGGGAGCTTTCTATTACCGTAGAATTCCTGGGTCCTGCAGTGTGTGGAGACGGTAGTCTACTGGATGACCCTCGCCTTCCTTCAGGACGACATGTGCTCCAACCTTGAGAGCAGATCCTAAGGACTTATGTCATTGTACAAGTTCCTTGAGTCTCCTCTTTCGTAAGTCCTCAGGACCCCAGGACTCAGCCCCAGATCATCTCTAGCATTAACATGCAAGTTCTTTCCTGTTTCCTGTAACAGGTTGTCAAGTCAACAAGCCAGATGTGATCTTGAAGTTGGAGCAAGAAGAGGAGCCATGGGTGCTGGAGGAAGAAATGTTTTGGAGACACTCTCCAGGTGAATAAGTGAGAAGTAGCTCTGAGTGAGAAAGCCGTGTGACAGTTAGTTGTTCAGTGAGGGGTGGCTTCCATTTCACGTTTCCCAAGACTGTGTTAAAGGCCCTAGTCTTCTAAATGACAAATGCTGTGTGTGACATATCATTTGTTACAGTGTGTGACATTCTGTTCTAGGAATAACTGTCCTATTGGAGTTACGTTCTTTTTTAAAAAAAATTTTAGAGGGGCATTAACCCCATGTGATTTCAGGATGCCCACCTTCCAGTGTGCTTACAACTTACCTTTATGATTATTGTACCTTTATATGATCTTCCCACCCTCCCTCATGTTGGAAGTTTATTTCCATAGTCAGCATTTGTGGAGTGTGGGATTGAAAATCAGCTTTGTTTTATACTTGGTGTCCCTTAGGTTTTGGCTTCCCTGCACTCTGAAAAGCTTCAGCCTTGTGTTTTATAGTAAGCCGTACTTCCAGTTGTACTTCCGACCTCACAGTCCGTGGTTGAGAAGCTTAAGTTCCTGGTTTAGGAATCCTGTGGTGTCCTCTTCTACTTATTCATATCCTCCCTTTAATATTTTGAAAATAGAGCATATGCCTACTTGGTTAGAAACTGCAAACCATCCAAAAGATACATTAAAAAGTATCCATTTATCCTTCCTTTCTGCAGTTGCATTCACCTCTTTTCAGAGCTCTCTAGTTTATTTTGCCATATGTATTTTAGATTTAACTAACTGTCTTATTTAGAGAAAACCATGATGAATTTTTCTTAGGACTATGCTGGATATATGAATTAACTTTAGCAGTTTGTCAAGTTCTTATTTTGTTTTGTTTCTATCTACTTTGAGAAATGGAACTTTCTAAATTCTCTTGTGTTCTTGTATATTGTATATTGTTTGTTAAGTTTATCCAAGTATTAGACAAGAAAGAAAAACAAGTTACGAATTGAAAAGGGATGCTTGGCAATGGTGGTACACGCCTTTAATCTCAGCATTCAGGAGGCAGAGGCAGGCGGAAGCCAGCCTAGTTTACAGCTCCAGGACAGCCAGGGCTACACAGAGAAACCCTGTCTCAAACAAACAAAGAATTGAAAAGGTGGGTGGGGGAAATGGCCCACTAGTTAAGAGCATAGGCTTGTAACAGTGCACAAAACAAAGTCTACTTACATGGACCTTAGAATTTAGTGGATTTTTGTGTGTTTGCTTGAATGGATTTTTTTGGTTTCTTTGTTTTGAGGCTGGATCTCTAGAAAACCCCGTACTGTCCTTGAAATCCCTTGAAGTTCTGATCCCTTTGCCTCTACCTCTCAAGTGCTGTGTTTATGTAGAGATCAAACCCAGGACTTTGTGCATGCTGGGCAAATACTTCACCAATTGAGCCGCATCTCCAGCGCATAATTTATTTTGTATGTAAGAAAATACCTTTGGGTACTAGAAAAATGACTCAGCAGTTAATAGCAGTTGCTCTCTTGCAGAGGACCCGGGTTTGGTTTCCAGCACCTGCAGTAGGCAACTCACAACCACTGTAACTCCAGCCCCAGGAGTTCTGAAACCCTTTTCTAGTTTCTTGAGCACCTGCATGCAGGTGGTACACATACATACACTCCAATGCACATTAAAGAATTCAAAATATAAAGAAAATACCCTCCTAAATTATTACATTTCACAAGATTGGCTGGATGTAAAATTCTTAAGCCATACTTTCTTTCCCAAAGACTTATTGTGGGTAGTTTCCATGAGCTTTAGGCAATTCTGTGTAATTTCCTACTTTTAAATATTGTTGGAAAAGAGGTCTGGTTGTTTCTGCTCATGCATCACTTGATCTCTGTCCACATAAGTAAATCCGGGCTTTATAGGGGGGCTGCTCTGTTGTATTTTCTTGAAAGCTTTAGGAGCGGTGCCAACTATGATCAGTGTTTCCTTTTGACTCGTGGTTGCTTCCTCCCTTTGTCCGTTTGTTTTGTTTCCAGTGCTGGGAATCAACCCCCCTTACACATTCTAAGCACAGAGCACCAACAACTCCCCCAGCCCAAAGATTCAAGGTTTTGCTTTTTATACTGTTATTATATAGATTTGATAGCTGCCCCTTTTTGATTATCATTGTTCATCCTTAAATGGAGATATTTTCCCTGCACCCATTACAAAGAGAAATATTCTGAGCTAATAGGAAACCTTTGTGCCTCACATTGACCATGCCATTGGGTTCAAAGTTGGGTTGTCCATTGTCCCAAGCTGAAGGGATTATCATTTTCATGCTTCCTTTAGTGTTCAGAGTCCTTCCCACCTGCCTATGCCAATAGTCTGTTGTAGTAGAATAAGGTTTATTTGCATCTGCTTCCTTGGTTGTGCCTTCCTTGCCATTTGTCAGGACCAAGTGAAGTCCACTAGGTTCCTCCCACCCATGTCAGCACACCCGGATCGCAGAGTTGCAAATCATGTCTACGTTTTGCAGGACTCTCTTCCCTATCTAGCTCATCCGAGAGAAGAGACAGGTCTTCATCTCTGGGCTGCTTCTCTACCTTGACTGACCCACTTTCTGTTCTTTCCTTATATTCTGGAGTTAAAGTTTCATTGAAGACATATTGATTATTCTGTTGTTTGTATTTGTGGGGTGGAGTGGGGACAGGTGTTTAATACCACCATAGTGAAACACTGCTGTATTGATCCCATAACCACCCTTCTTGGAAATAGCTTTCTTCTTTGCTCTTCTGGTTCTGATTTTTCTTTAGTTCCCACTCATTGTTTGTTTCTTCTTGTTTTATAAAATGCTTTTTGCATGACTCCTTTTCTCAACTTTCCCTGGACTGTTAGGGGCCAGGCCAGTTCAAAATGTTTCCAAAGCCCCTGCTGAAAGGACACAGGGAGCATTAGTTTCTGTGTCCTCGTCCATGGGCACACTTGGTGAGGGCTGGGGCAAGGGCCAGGGCCTCAAGGAGTCAAGGTTTCCGTTCCAGAGAACAGAGACTCTTCCCTGTGAAGGTCTGTGGTTATCAATCCCAAGGCCACTTTGTGCTTGGTCTGTGACATACCTGAGATATCCTGTGTTCCCTGGTGCAACGTTGCTTGATAAGCGTCCTGCTGGTGTCTTCCCATTGTGTGATAGCTTTCTGCTGCCTTTGTCCCATTTCCCCTGCAAACAGTATTTAAGAGGCTCTGCTGCTTAATTGCGTGTGCCATCATCTTACACAGTCCTCCTGACCCCAGCTCTCTGCCTTCTTTATGTTCTCATCCCTTCTTCCCCACCCCCCGCCCCCCAACACCTCACAATTCAGGTTTAAAGTAGGTCTGACTCTCAAGCTCCTCACAGTTGATGGCACTCCAGAGGTGTGGACAAGCACAAGATGAGTTGATAGCAGCTGCTCTTAGAGAACCACAGTGAGTGAGGATGGCTTGGCTCTTGATCACTTCATACTTTTTATTCATTCTAACCAGATAGTTGACGTTCTCTCCATATTTACTACAAGTTTGGATTGGAATTTAGTTGGAACAACCTAATCTTCAAATACTTTCATAACTATTACTTTATGAAAAGCTAACAGGCTTTTGGAGTATAGAATGGACAGATTTACCAGGATTCTGTGATAGTTCGTATAGACGAGAATAAGAACTTGTGGTGTTGTGTCTCTTGATCTGATGGAGCTGTTGTTCTTCTTGTATATGTTTATTTGTTATTTCAGTGTGTGTGTGTGTGTGTGTGTGTGTGTGTGTGTGTGTGCATGTGTGTGTGCATGTAAGTGTGAGGACAGAGACAGCATCATCCTTAGGCATGCCGTCCACTTCCTTTAGGACAGAGCCCCTCTTGATGTTCTGGAACTCACCAGGAAGGCTAAACTGGCTGGCCATGAGCTGAAGGGCTCCTCCTGTTCCCATTTGAGTGTTGGGATTAAACCTGCCTCAGCCCGACTCCTTTGTGTTTAACGTGCATTTTTAGTTTTCTCCAAAGCCATACATGCACTTCTTTAAGAAAGTCAATAGAAATACAAATCTTGCCAGGTGGTGGTGGCACACACCTTCAATCCCTGCCTTGGGAGGCAGAGACAGGTGGATCTCTGTGAGTTCGAGGCCAGCCTGGTCTACAGAACGTTCCAAGGCAGCCAGGACTACACAGAGAAGCCCTGTCTCAGAAAAAAGGAAGAAAGAAGGAAAGGAAAGGAAGGGAGGTACAGACAGACAGACACATAGACAAATCTTATAGTAGTATTCATCTTTCCCCCCATTTAGAGAAATTGCAAAAATTTAAAAAAAAATTAAGGTAATACAGATTTTTATGCTTTTTTGAGTACTAGACTGTACTGGTTAGATCAGAACCTAAAAGCTTTGTGCAGTGTCCCAAATACTGGTATCTGTAAGTCTTTTATTTTTAAATTTTCTCATGTCCTACCTGGAGGCACATCCTTTAGGACACTAAGGGTTGGAGGCCTCACAGTATCTAAATGGTCAGATAATTCCTACTTTTTTTGTTAACATGAATCCTTCTCTATCTGCTTGCTTCTAAGTCTAGAGTCTCTTTGGTTCATTTTCTCTAGAAATAAAGAGACCCAGCCATTTTCTTATATAGATTGTTAAGTGGTAGTGTAGTCAAGTCTAGTTATGGCAAAGAAAATGTACTAGCTGCTGTTTAAGAATCTGTGCGGATATTAAATGGCTCACAGAATTTGGAGATGGACTAAATTTCTAGTAGTGAGTCACCAAGGCGTGTCTACAGGAGTGAGCTACTGAGGGAGTGCTTCTTTGAAAAATGATCAAGAAAGTACTTGTGGTTGAACTAAAGAAAGGCTTTCCAACTATGAGTGCTCTCTGCCTCTGTTTTAATCTCTTAAGAAAAAATGTACATCTCCTCATTTAATTCTGAATCTAATGTTCATATGTGCGAGTGGCAATTCTGTAAGTCACGTGTGAACCCTATATGCAGTTGTGTTTAGGGAGGGTAGTTTGAACTGGTTCATCCTTTGTAAGATGGAAAAACATCTTGTGGTTGGAAAAGATGTTATTGTACTTAAGCAGATCTGTATTGTCTGTCTGGGGTCTAATTGCTCCCTATTCAGATTTTTAAATCTCTTGTTTTTAATACCAGTTTTATCCTATCTTTTTCTTTAAAATGATAATAATAAACTGAGATTTTTTAGTTCACTGGGACACATACCAAGGAGTATGGTTACTGAGTCGTAGGTAAAAGTATTATTTCATTTTATTGCCCAGTGAGATGGCTCAGAGTGTTAAGGCACTTGCCTGCCAAGCCTACAACCTGGGCCCAGCCCCTGGGACCCACACTGTGGCAGTGAAGAACTGACTCCTGCAAGTTGCCCTCTGGTTTCCTCATGTCCTGCACACATGCCCCCTCAAATCAACACGCAAATAAAATGTAATAAAAGATTATTTTAAGAATATAATTAATTTTGCAGAAAACTTCCAGACTGTCTTTAAAGTGGATGTAGCACCTTGCATTCCCAGCAGCAGTGTCTGAGAGTCCCTGTTGTGCATCCTTGTCCACCTCTGGTGGTATCTGTGCCTAGGATTTGGTTACTCTACCAGCTGCTTAGTGGTATGCCTTTGATGTTTCAATTTGCAGGAACCTCCCTTTGGCATACAGTGTTGAACATGGTTGCATGTGCTTAGTGACCATGTCTTTCTAGTCCCTTAAGTAATTAGGCATCTGTCTAGGTTCCTGTTCATTTGTTTTCCTGGATGCTTTGTGCTGGAGGTAGGAGAATTGTCTTTTTTTTGGGTACACCCTGGCTGTCCTTGATCTTCCAGTCTTCCTGCTTCAGCCTCCAAGTGCTGGAATCACAGGCATGTACAACCACACCTGGCAAGGTTTTGTTTTTGTTTTTAATGTCAAGTTTTATGTGTCCTCTGCATATGTCAGTGATAATCTTTCTCATATGTTTCTTCTGCAAGTACTCACTGTCTGTGGCTTATCTTCTCACTTGCTTGACTGTGTCTTTTGTAAAGTAGAAGGTTTTACATTTTAAGAAGTTCAGCCTACTGTTTTTCATTAATCAGGCCTTTTCTTGTCACCCCCCTCTCCTGCCCACTGTCATAACCCAGACTTCGTCCTATGTTACCTTCTACTAGTTTTACTGTTTTGTGCTTTACACTTAGCTCTATGGTTTGAGTTACTTTCTGTGAAGAATGTAAGTTGGTATCTAGACTGATAGGGTTGATGCAGATGTCCAGTTGAAGCAGCTCTGTCTGTTGAAAAGGCTGGTTTTGCCCTGTTTCTTTTGCTCCTTTGTCAAAGATTGATTATATTTATTTGAGTCTGTTTTCTGTGTTCTATATTCTGTTCCATTGTTCTGTTTGTCTCTTCTACTGCCTACTAGACTATATGATTGCTAGAGCTTAATAAGAAGTCTTGCAGTCAGGTGGTATCCATCCCCACCATTTTTCTCCTTTAATACTGTGTTCTCTATTCTGATATTTCACCTCCATGTGAACTTTAGAATCGATTTGTCTCTGTACACAGAGTAAAGTGAAAAATGAGATTGCTTTGAACCTATGAATCAAATTAAGAACTAACATGCTGAATGTTGGGACTTTTCCCATCAGCATACAATATCCATTTATTCTTTGATTGTAGTAGTCAGAATTTCGTGGTTTTCCCATTACAGATCTTGTCATATGTTATTAGATTTGTATTTGTTTTGTTTTGAGGAATAATAATATAAATAGTGATGCATTCTTAATTCCAAATTCTGCTTGTTCATTCCTGATAAGCAATTGAGTTTTGCATGTTATCCTTGTATGTGTCCACCTTGTTAATAATGGTTGGTTCCAGCAGATTTTAGTTGTTGATTCTCTTAGATTTTCTGCATAGATGACCACATTGTCTGTGAGCAAACAGTGTTAATACTGCTTTTTCCGTCACTCCAATCTGTACATCTTTTATTTCCTTTTCTATCTTACTACATTAGCCAAACATTCGGTGATATAGAAAAAGTGGTAAAAGGAGCACCCCGATCTTATTCCCTTTGAGTTCTTGGATCTTCTGATTCTTCCTGTGGCTTGTCATTTTTTCTTCATGATACTTTTGCTGTAGCGTCTTACACGTGCTCTCCAGCTAACAGTCCTCTGCATACCATTCATCTTGTACAATCTTGTTGAAATCTCTATTTCTTTTGCCTTTAAGGTTTGACCCTTTATTCTTTTTGGAAAGGAGAAGTAAACATATATATTTAGTCCTGCCTGTCGTGTTTAACCACAAATACTAGTTTTATCTTGTTGCTACTTGACCCCTTATCTAGTCCTTTATGTATTTACCCTCTTGTTTTCATTCCATTCATTTTGCTGATTTCTTCATTATATACAAGGATACTGTTTTTTAAAAAAAATCCTTCAGTGCTGCTTAGATCTACAAATGCCAGTTCGTTGTTGTTGTTGTTGTTGTTGTTGTTGTCTTCTCATAGTATTGTCTGTAGGAGTTAACTTCTTAACCTTTAAGAACTGGGGGGCATTTGCATTTTAGTTTCTTATCAACTGACTAAGGCCAACCATAAAGATTCAACACCACATTAGTAAATTTCTAAATTATTATGAATAGTTTAGTGATAGAAAATTTCACAAGTAATGATTTTTGATCCTCCATTTTAGAAGTTTGGGAAGTTGATGAACAGATGGAGAAACAACAGGAAACACTTGTGAGGAAAGTCACATCCATCTCCAAGAAAGCTCTGATTAAGGAAAATGTCATTGACTGTAAAAAGGTTGCAAAAATCTTTCCTCTGAGCTCAGATGTTGTTACTTCAAGACAAAGCCTCTATGATTGTGACTTACTTAATAAGTGTTTGGAACAAAATTTAGATATACTTAGTTGTAAGAAAGGCTGTGTAAGAGACAAAAACTTTGAATGTAATGAGTATGAGATGCCATTTTACCATTGCTCACCCTATGCCATAGCCCCCTTTAAATGTAATCAGTGTGGACAAGACTTCATTCATAAATTTGACCTCCTCAGACATGGGAGAAATCATGCTGGAGTAAAACGTTATGGATGTAAAGAGTGTGGAAAATCTTTTAGCAGGAAGGAAAATCTCATCACACATCAGAAAATCCATACTGGGGAAAAACCATATATGTGTAATGAATGTGGAAAAGCTTTCATTCAAATGTCTAATCTCATTAGACACCAAAGAATTCATACTGGGGAGAAACCTTATGCTTGTAAGGATTGTTGGAAAGCTTTCAGTCAGAAATCAAATCTCATTGAACATGAGAGGATCCACACTGGAGAAAAACCCTATGAATGTAAGGAATGTGGGAAATCCTTCAGCCAGAAGCAAAATCTTATTGAGCATGAGAAAATTCACACCGGGGAGAAACCTTATGCATGTAATGAATGTGGTAGAGCTTTCTCTCGAATGTCATCTGTTACGCTGCATATGAGAAGTCACACAGGAGAAAAGCCCTATAAATGTAATAAATGTGGAAAAGCTTTCTCTCAGTGCTCAGTGTTTATTATACATATGAGAAGCCATACAGGTGAGAAGCCTTATGTATGCAGCGAATGTGGAAAAGCCTTCTCACAAAGTTCTTCCCTTACTGTACATATGCGAAATCATACTGCTGAGAAACCCTATGAGTGTAATGAGTGTGGGAAAGCCTTCAGCCGGAAAGAAAATCTTGTTACACATCAGAAAATTCATACTGGAGAGAAACCTTATAAATGTAATGAGTGTGGAAAAGCTTTTATTCAGATGTCAAACCTCATTAGACATCAGCGAATTCATACTGGTGAAAAACCCTATGCATGTCCTGTATGTGGGAAAGCCTTTAGCCAGAAATCAAATCTTACTGAGCATGAGAAAATTCATACTGGAGAGAAACCTTATCATTGTAATCAGTGTGGAAAAGCCTTTAGTCAGAGGCAAAATCTCCTTGAACATGAAAAAATCCATACTGGAGAGAAACCATTTAAATGTAATGAGTGCAGTAAAGCCTTTTCTCGAATCTCATCCCTTACTCTTCATGTGAGAAGACACACAGGGGAGAAACCTTATGAATGTAATAAATGTGGAAAAGCCTTCTCTCAGTGCTCATTACTTATTATACATATGAGAAGTCATACTGGTGAGAAACCCTTTGAATGTAATGAATGTGGGAAGGCATTTTCTCAGAGAGCATCCCTTTCTATACATAAAAGAGGTCATACAGGCTAGAAACACCCAGTGTACTGAGGTAATGCCTCTTATATATTTGAAATATCTGATGTAAGTGCAATAACAAAATCTTTTTGGAAAAATAATAGAACTTTGTTGGAGCTTATGAGCAGATGCAGAGAAATGTGTATATAGGTAAATACAGCATCATAAAATTTTCAATTCTGAAAATCTGTAGATAATACAGTTCCCAATAATCTCATAACATTTTTCTATAATATTTATAAAGTGATTCTTTAATTCACATAAAATAGAAGTGAAAACCAGGCATGGTGATGCTTGTCTATAATCCCAGCATTTGGATGACAGGAAGATTGCCACAAGATTGAGGCCAGCCTGTTCTACATAGTAAGACTGTCTCAATAAATAAAAGTCCATGGATTGATGAGATGATTTTGGAAAAAGAATAGTCTGAACATACTTACTGTAATCCCTACACTCTGGAGATCGAGGCAGAAGAATGTAGAGTTTGAGTCAGCCTGGGCTATGTAGTGAGACCCTAACTCAAAACAAAACAAAAAATATAACCCAATTAATACTTAGATTAGCATAATATATGGTAAATTTATAGCCACTTAAAGTGTATAGCATAGGAGCATAATTAGGTGGGTAAACAGGTTATAGAGTGCCCAGATACAGAGCTGTGGAAATATGTGAACTTGGTGCTTGTCAGACATGAAATCATGAGTTGGCAGAGAAAGAACAATCTAGTCATTTGTTTCTGGAGTATTTGACTATTGGAGAAAGTTCAGGTGTAAACAGTACTACAACATAATAAACATTCCAAAGGATTTGAATACTGAATTGTGAAAAAACTCAGACCTTGAAACCATTAAATGTTGATGAATATGATGGTGCATGCATACAGTCCTAGTGCTTGGGAGGTAGAGGCAGGAGGGTAAGGAGTTCAAGGTCAGCTTTGACTAGATAGCAAGCTAAAGTAAGCCTGGACTACGTAAGACTATCTTTAAAAAGTTACAGACTGTAACTTGAAGTCAAAGAATCAATTCTGAAAATGTAAAATGATCGTACAGTTCTAGTTCAGATCAGTTTCATTTCTGTTAGAGGCTCTAGAAATTCGTACATAAAGAAGAGGAAACACATGCATATGAATTGAAAACCTGGGTGCCCAGCAGTGGGCTGATGGATGAATAAGATACAACCTACCCCAAGGATGGAATAGTGTGTAGCACTTAAAAACAAGTAGCTCCATATTGTGTAACAGAAATAGTTACCGAGAACAGTGTTGAGTGGAAAATAAGATGCAATGAAACATACTGTTTATTATCCATATAAGTTGCAATGAAATCCTTTACAAACAATAGAACTGGTTTTATTGAGATTGCTATTGAATAGAAACTGGTTTTATTGAAAAACTTGTATATGTATGTATGTAAAGTTATTTAAAGTTGATTAGAAAGATACATGCTAAATTCTTTTTAGTTTTGTCTATCACAAGACTTTGGGACTGAGGGTGAGAGGATGTTGATGGGAAGGCCTTTTTTGTCTTTAAAAGACTAGTAGAATATAAAATAAATCTTAAAAGTTAGTGATACATGGTAGTAATATGACTTGTCTTTTTTTCTAATACCAAAATAGAACAATTCATGCAAGACACCTGAGTAGATTCTCTTTAAACAAATAAGCTATGACGCACAAGGTGATCCTTTTTTTCTCCAAGATGATGGTGGTGTTTTCTTAGTTATTTCTCACTACTAACTGGCTAAGGGAAACCTGTGTCCATTTTAAAAAAAAAAAAAAACATGTTATGAAGAATTCATGTGCTCTTTCAGATGCTGAACCATTTTATCAGAAATGTTTCCATATGCCTCCCAGCATCCCAGGAGCTGATGCAAAAGGGTTAAGATTTTGAAATCGCCTCTGCCTCCATAGTAAAACAAACTTGGTCTGAGGACAGCTCAGTTGCTGCAGCCCATCTCTTGCAAACATGAAGACCTGAGTTTGGTCCCCAAAACCTGTGCTTAAAAAAATAATAAGTAAGGCTTAGTGGTTCGCACTTGTAACCCCGGTATTGGGGAGAGACAGGTTCCTGTGCCCTGCTACCCAACTAGCCTAGCCTATTTGGTAAGTTCTAGGCCAGTTAGAAATCCTCCCTCTGCATCCCCAAGTGAATGGCTCCTGAGGAACAACACCCAAGGTGTCCTCTGACCTCCATGCACACATGCACACACTGAATAATACATATATACATACCCACACAGTACTTAGAATGGTACTAGGTACTAAAAATTTGAAGTTAGTGTGTTTTATTCTGTGATATTTTGTTTCACATTTAGTATTTTTGATATTTGGATTCATCTTTCAACCAATGATTTATTAAATTCAAGTAAATTTTTGTTGTAAAATTGAAAATATGAACTCAACATTAATAGATGTACTGTGGTTATTTTCTTTGATAAAGTGCTGAGGATTGATGTTATAAATTGATTTCTTATTTAGACAGCTACTCTGCCACTGAGCCGTATGTAGCCAATCCCCTTATTTAAATTCATCATTGAAACAATAATGTCTTAGGTTCAAGTAAATCTTTGTCATAAATTATTATTTACTTATTCATTTGAGGCCAAGTCTCATGTATCCTGGTCTGTCTTCAACTTGCTATGTAGCTGAGGATCAGTTTGAACTTCTGATCCTCCTTCCTCTCCACCTCCCAAATGCTGAGAATATGTGCCACCCTGCCTAGCTTATGAATTGCTAATTCTTAAAGCCAGGGCTTTAACTGAGCCATATTCTCAGCCCAAATTATCCTAAGTTTGAAAATCTGAAGTTGGTGTAATATAAAATGTGCTTTTTGTTTCTTTATGATTTTTTTTTTTGGTATGTATGTATGTGTATAGTGCTAGGATGCGAACTCAGGGCTTTGCGCATGTTTGGCAGGCACTCTTCTACTTTTCACTATGTCCTCACCTTTGGTTGTCTGAGACAGGTTTCCATATGTAGCTCAGACTGGCATTGAACTCATTCATGATCTTCTTCCTCAGCTTCCAGAAGAAGTGAGTTCATAGGCACTGCTGCTGTGCCCAGCTGAAAATATGTTTTATTTACTATCTTAGGGTATCATCTACTACATATTTCCCCTACTCTTGTGTCTACCATTGTTCCACAAAGGATTTGTTGTTAGGCTCTTAACTAACTAATTAATACGTTTAGCATCATGCAGAATTAGTAAGATGTTCTAGGGAATTTGCATTGTGATATTATTACCCTGTGGTTTTGCATGTGGTTAACATAGGCATTAATCCTATTGTTAATGAATGCATTTTGAAATGAGAAGCCTTTTTTCTCTTAGGTGGCTATGCACAATTTTATTGTTCAGTCTTAACTTTCAGCCCATTTTTAATCCTTTCAAAATCATTGACTTCGTGGCTTATCTAGTTTTGGTTGGAAGCAGTGAGGATCCCAAATTCTGAGCAATATCCTCTAAAAGGTCCTTAGTCTCTTAATGCATGAGACAACCTTTAAGATAATTTTAAAAAATTTTATCATCTTTACAGTATTATTTGATGAGCAAAAGGCCACTAATGCATTTTTTAAAAATAAGAATTAAGGGTGTTGGTCAAAGGGGTCTTTAGATTTTATATTTGAACATTAATTTGTTTGAAGTTAACTTCACATAAGTAAAAAATCTCTTTCAGTTAAAAATTATTAAATACAACCATGACTGTTTCAGTTTGGACTGTTGTATGGTATTTTGGATGATGGACAGTAAGTAGCTTGTCATAAATAACAGGAATTAATTTTAATGGAAACTGTTTTACTGAAGTATTAATAAAGAATCATTGTTATTTTATGTATTTTGTTCTTTGGTAGGCTTCATGCTAAGTCTAGTTTCGTAAGCATACTTAATATTTATAGGTGTAAAAATAATTTTCAAATTCATACATTGTCCACATAAGAACCCCATGTAAATATTCTGTTGTAGTGCATTGGTTTTTTGGGGGGATTTGGTTTTTGGTTTTCTGCTAGACTATCTTTTTTCTCCATTTTTTTTCCTTGTGTTTTTCTTTTTTACTTTGGGCCTGTGTTTCATATGCCATATACAATTGTGTAAGGTGTATGGAATACAAGTCTCTGCTGCCTCTTCTGAAACATGGATTTGAAGAAAACAGAGAATTAACTTTTCACTGCAGATTGGAAGGGCCTCCTTAGGGTCCTCTTTGGGCCTCACCTCCCCCGCAATAAGACTAGCTAAACTCTCTGGATGAGGTGAAGTGCCTGGTTATAAACTGAACCTGGAGTCTAAGAGTTTCACTGATTGTGATTGTTTACTAGGGAGCAAATGATCTGTCCTCTCTAAATTTACACCCCCTTCCTCTGTCTTTAGTGTTAGGACCAGAGATATACCAGTAGAAGTGAATTCAATAGAATTTGCTCATGTGAAAGATGAGAAAAACATAAACATTAAGCTTGTGCTTTCATGGTGAGCATGTGTAGGCGTGCATAAATGTCAGCTCTTTTGAAATACAGTGGGGAGTGTTGCCTATAACAAAGCTCTACTAGGCAGAAGGTGTTACAGACCTTATCTACTGGAGGAAAAGGCATGTGGCCACTAAACACCCTATGTCTTGCCAAAGACGGTACCAGAGATAAATGTGCTCCTATAGGCCACATGCTAGGACTCAGGGCAGTGCAATGTGAGACTGAATAGAATTAGAGAGTGCTTCCTCTCCTGGAGCACCACAGCAGTAGAGCTGCTATATAAAACAGAATTATGAAGCTGGGCAGTGGTGGCTTATGCCTTTAATCCCAGCCCTTGAGAGGCAGAGGCAAGTAGATCTCTGAGTTTGAGGCCAGCCTGGTCTATAGAGTTCCAAGACAGCCAGAACTACACAGAGAAACCCTGTCTGGGGGGTGGAAAAAATCAGAATTATGAGATAAACTAAGATAGACATCTTAGTGGATGAGAGGACCCACAAGAGCTAGAAGAAATTCAAACCAACCACACAAAAAAATGTTCAAACAGTCTAGCATATTTACCTCAGTTTACATTACATCCTTTCAGTTAAACATTGGAGGGCATATTAAAAAGGCAAGGAAAAAATAGCCTGAATGCACGAAGACAGGCATAAAACCAGGCTCAAATTTGACGCAGATTCATAAGTAATAAGTTTAAGATAAGTATGATTGAAATGTTAAGGAGTGTTGTGGAAAGTAGTCAAATATGCAAACAGATAAGTAATATATGCAAAGAAATGGAAACATTTCCCAAAGGCTCAAGAGGAAGTGCTAGGGAAGATATCTTTGATGGGCTCATCAGTGTACTGCACAGTACTGAGCCAAGGAAAGATGCAGTAAGCTGAAAATATGTCAGCTGAAATTTCTCAGACCGAAATGCCAACTCAGAATGGCTGTGAACTGAGGATCAATTAAAAAGATGTAACATAATTGCCACTGGAATGTCCGAAGAAGGAGAAGAAAAAGAAACAAGTATGTTGAGGGCTGATGGCTGAGACTTCAAAATTGATGATCGCAAATCACAGACCCAGTAGGTTCAAAAGAGCACATTAAATATGGAAACTGTATCTGTGTATATCATTCTAAAATTGTAAAAAAGAAAAAGACAAAACCTTGAAAGAAGCCAGTGGGGAGGGCTTTTCAAAGACCTTCCTATTGTAACGTAGTCATAGTTTCATTCTGTGTTGTTAATATTCCATAGAAGAAGGGTTAGGAATCATGGTGGATTTCTTTTCAGAAGTCATGTGAAGTGTTTAATGTGTTTTTAAAGTTTGAATTCTATAGTGAAGTGATTAAGATGAGAGGAAATTTTAACTTTCTCAGAGCTAGACACTGAAGGAAACCTCTGTCCTGGTTTCCTGTGGAAGAGGCCGGCCTCTGAGGCTGTACAAAGGAACCCACACCTTACAGAAGTAACTGAAGTTTGAAATCCGTCAGTCTTTGAGAAGTGAGGGAAGAGTCAGCACACTTGGTACTCAAAATGTGTATTTCCCTGAATTGGAAAAACATATAAAGAATAGGAACACCACCTTCGCAAGCCTTTCCCAAAAACTTAAAGGGGAAGAAACACTTTCTAACTCTTGTGAAATCAGCATTACCCTGATAGAAAAGCCAGACAAACACTTAAGAAAATATAGACATACATCCCTTTTAAATACTCATGAGGGCTGGGGAGGTGGTTCCATGGTTAAGAGCACTATCTGTTCTTGAGAGGAACTGGGTTAAGTTCCTGGCATTCCCATGGCAGCTCACAACTGTCTGTAACTTCAGTCCCAGAGGATCTAACATCCTCTTCTGGCCCATGTGGACACTGTACACATGTGTGCACAAATACACATTCAGGCAAAACACCCATACATGATAAATTAATTTTTTTAACTTAAAATACTGATGAAAAAAGCCTTGGTAAGACACTAGAAAACAATTTAAATGTATGTTTAAAAGAATTACACACCATAATAAAATGATATTTCTGGAATATAAGGATGCCTTTACATATAAAAACCAATAAATGAAGCCACGCCACATTAATATACTAAAGACACAATCATTTCAGTTGATTTAATAAGGCACTTGACAGAATTCAAGCCCATTTCTTTTTAATATTGAATATCTGGGTGTTGTGCATATTCACAATCCTAGAACTTGGGAAGTGGAGGTAGGAGAGTCAGGAGTGCAAGGCTAGTCTGTGCTACATGAGATTGAGTCCCAGAAACAAAAGCACCCTCTGAATAAAATAATCAAGGAAAGTAATCAGCAGCTCTTCTCTACTGAAGGAAAGGATACTTAGCCACTGTTGTCTCCCTCTAGCTGACTTAGAAAGATTTAACAACATACAGAAGCATCATTAAAAATCTTAGTGGTGAAAGATGAGATCCTCTTGACACAGCCCCTCAGCAGATGAAGAAAGTTCAGTCTGTGCTTAACAATGGGATATTGTTTAACAGTAAGTGAAATCCTGGAACATGCTATAACGTGGAGGGTCTTTGAAAACATTATACTGAGTAAAGTGAGCCAAACACAAAAAGCTAAGTTTATATAACTTCCACTTATTGAAGTACCTAGACTATGAGAATTTAGAAGTTAGCATAGAGGTTACCAGGGACTGGGATGATGGGGTGATGTTTAAAGGATAAAACAAATGATGAGAATTGTCTGGATATAGCGGTCATCGCTGTATAATGCTTCTGAATAGCAATACATGAAAAATGAATAAAACGATAAATCTTCACACTCAAGTTAAAAATTCCTCTCATAATTCCAGTATCTATATTGTCTTAAGAGTCATTTTCTTGCTGAATGGTTTTGGCACATGCTTTTAATCCCAGCACTCAGGAGGCAGAGGTAGGCAGATCTCTGAGTTCGAGGCCAGCCTGGTTTACAGAGGGAGTTCCAGGACAGCCAGGGCTACACAGAGAAACCCTATCTTTAAAAAAGTCGTTTTCTTCAATGGGTTTGCTTTTCCTATATCCTTGAGAGATATATATATATCTATATAGATATCTATATCTATATAGATATATATACTTTGATTGTGTCGTGGATATGATGACTACATTGTCAAAGCTAGACTTTTTCATATTTGTTTTTTAATATTTTACTTGAAATAGAATCACATCATTTTCTGCCTTCCCTCCCTCCCTCCCTCCAGTCCCTCCCATGCCCCCCACTCTCAAGCTGATAGCCCCCTTTTCTTTGATTGTTACCGTTACATCACAACATAAATACACACACATTTGTGTGCACGAATATTTAAATACAACCTGTTGAGTCTGTTTTTATTGCTTGGGTGTGATTGGTTTCAGGGCTGACCACTCTGCCTTGGACAGCCAATAAGGGGCTCACCCTGGAGAGGCTATTCTTCTCCCAGAAGTTGGTAATTGCCTGGAGATCTTCATCTAGGGGTGGGACCCTTCAAAATCTTCCTCTTCCGTGTTAGTTATGTTCATTGGTACTGCCATTGTTCTAGTCTTGTTTATGTATCCGTTTCTAGGAGAGACCATTTCACAGCAGACTTCCTGATATTCTAACTCCTAGAGTATCCTCGTCCCCTCTTCCTTGGCATTCTCTGAGCCATAGCTGCAGGAGCTGTGATGTGTGGCACAGATGTATCCTTTGGAGCTTGGCTCCCTGCAGTCGGTTGATCTCTGCACTGTGTCTAGTTGTGGTTTTTGTGATGGTCTCCATTTGCTGCAGAGAAAGGCTTTAATGAGGGGTGGTAACTACAATTATCCATGGGTCTAAGGTTAAGATTTAGACTGCAGTAAGGAATTACGTTGATGTAACAAAGTGGTGGTAGTAGATTCTTTTCTAAGGTCCATGACCTCACTAACCCTGAAAAGTTGGCTAGGTCTCCAGGAGCAGTCATGATTGCCCTCTTGTTGAGTTGGCCTGAAGTCCAATCCGACGGCTGTTGGTTACCACCACCATGTGAGAGCCGCTTACTGCATCTTTACAGAAATCTTGCCGTGTTGGTCATTGTCGTGGTTCTGAGGTGTTGCAGCTGGGTGGGACTGTTTAATTGCTTCCTTCCCTTGGCAGCTTGCAAAGTATTTTCTAGAACCATAGAAATTAGATCCAAATGAAGAAGGTTTTCAGGCCAGATCCAGCTTGAATTATCCAAAACCTGTGTCTTAAGTGTGCAGTGTCTTTAGTACTGGGGACCAACCCCCAACCCCCGAGAGGCAACACAGACTACATCGATAGGCTACAATCTAAATGTCCTTCCTCAGGTGAATGAATAATGAACATGTGGTCCATATACACAGTTGAATACTGTTCAGCTCTAAAGTATAATTAAATCACGGACTTGGCAGGTAAGTGGCTGTATATTGAGTAAGGTAACCCAGACAGACCCAAAAAGACAAATGCCATATTTTCTCTCTCCTCTGTGGTTCCTAGCCCCAAATCCTCAGATGTGATATATGACCTGGAGTAACCACAGACACCAGGAAAGTATAAAGGGACCACAAGTGGAGGGAGGTTGAGAGGGCATAGCAGGACACAGGTGGCATGCAGTGGAATACAGAAAGATGCCAGAATTTGTTACACTTCTTAGAAGAGTGTTGGTTTCTATCCTCAAAAGCAGAACTTGGCTAAACTTAAAACCTAGTCTGTCTTTCCTGAAGGAGGCAGTAGCAGAAATGGTTTTTCCCTTCTTTAGTCATCTAGCTCTTCATTTGCCTGGGCTCTTTGGAGTTCCCCTAGATACACAAGGCTCAGGCATCTCTCAAAGACTTGAGATGCTCAGCCAGGAAAGGCACGTGTGCCAAACAGGACAACATGAGTTTTGTCCCTGGGATCCACACAAAATAACTTGAACACATGACTAATAAACTGAGCAATTGAGCATAATATCTAAGACGTGCACCAGAAAATTCAAGACACTACACTCCTTAATACAAAAGGAAGAGGAGGTAGAAATTGATCATTTGAAAAATCAGCCAAATAGTAGTAGATTGTGATCTTGAACTATGCTCTACATGTGATCTTAAGCCAGGCAGCCATCATGAAAGCCTGAGGCTTTGAGTGTCAAGAAGCAAGAAAATTATCAAAGACTTCTGAGATCATTCAAAAGACCAAAAGAGCCCTTGAAGGGACTCTTAGTGGCCCAAAATAAGATGCCTTTGACATTAATAATATTAATGGCTGCAAATTGATGTCAGCTTAAAGTATCTAAATGTATAAAATATGAAAATCTGTACAAATCAAGTAATCTTAGAAAAACACAAGGCAAGAAATCAATATTCATCTTTTGCTGCTGGCTAGTATACCAACTCCAAACTCTGAAAATAAGGGGATTAGAAGGAAATAATTAATACACCGTCCCTTTTTTGAATATTTATTTTTATTTTTTACTTATGTGTATGTATATGTGTCTGTGAATATGTGCTATGTGTGTGCAGTGCCTGTAGAGGCCAGAAGAGGTCATTGGAGCCCCTGGAGCTGGAGTTACAGCAGTTGTGAGTTGGCTGCCCTGTGCTAAGAGCAGAACTCTGGTCCTCTGGAAGAACAGGAAGTACTCTTAACTGCTCAGCCATCATTCCAACCCCCCAGAGTGCCTTTTCCATATGTTACTGGTTACCTTTGCAGCTTCATATATGAAATGTTTGTTCTAGTCTATTGCCATTTGCATCTGTCTGTCTATCTATCTATCTGTCTGTCTATCTATCTATCTATCTATCTATCTATCTATTTATCTATCATGTGTATGTAGGTGTACATGTGGTCAGATATCTATCTATATCATATGTGTGTAGGTGTACATGTGGTCAGATATCTATATCTATTATATGTGTGTAGGTGTACATGTGGTCAGATATCTATCTATATCTATTATATGTATGTAGGTGTACATGTGGTCAGCAGACAGTTTGTGGAAATCTTTCTGTCATTTGGGTCCCTGGGCTTGAACTCGGCTTGTCAGACTCTGAGGCAAGCACCTTTACCCACTGAGCCGTGTCTCTGGCACTTCTAGTGCCCCTTTTTTATTGAACTATATATGAGTGCAGGTCCAAAGATGGCTTGTGGAGTTGGGTCTCTCCTTTTATTATGTGGGTCCCAGTGTTGAACTCAGGTTCTCAGCTTTGTGGCAAGTATCTTTACCCACCTAAACCATCTTGCTGTTCTCTTGAAAGGGTTTGTTTTTGTTTTTGTTTTTTCTGTGTGTTTGTGTGTGTGCGTGCGTGCGTGCGTGCACGTATGTGTTTTGGGAAATGGCTTAGTGGGTGAAGTGTCTGAGGAAGCCTGAAGGCCTGAGTCCAGATTCCCAGCTCCAACATCAAAAGCCATGTGAGGTGGCACATGCCTGTAGCCCCAGTCTTTGTTGGGAAACAGAGTCAGGAAGGTTCCTGAAGCTTACCAGTCTACCAGTGTAGCTAAAGTGAGCCCCATGTTCAGGAAGACAGACTCCTCAGATCAGGTGGAGAGCAGTCTAAGATACTCAAAATCAATGTCTGACCTCTACATGTGCACACACAGTGTGAGTGCCTGTACACACACATACCTTACACGCACAAATTGTGTTCATGTACAGAATTTCACCATGGGTTTTTGGCTATCTCTTGATATGATCGTGTGATGTACTACTTTAGCCTGTTGATATGATGGGTTACATGAATGGACTTCCAGGTGTTGAACAGTTGCAAATCTTGATATAATTCTATCCTGTTGGATTTGATTTGCTAATATTTTGTTCAGGATTTTTGCACTTGTGTTCAGAGAGATGTTAGTCTGTGGTTGGCTGTTTTCTTGTAATTATCCTTTTGTTCTAGGAATGACCTTCTAGAATGAGTTAAGAAACTAGTTTCTTCCTTGTTTGGTAGAATTTATTAGTGAAAGTTTCTGGGCCTTGTGCTGTTTTCAAAGTTAATAATCATTGATTCTATATCTCCTCCTCTTTTATGCATGTCTTTTTTTTTTTTTTTTTTTTTTTGGTTTTTCGAGACAGGGTTTCTCTGTGTAGCTTTGCGCCTTTCCTGGGACTCACTTGGTAGACCAGGCTGGCCTCGAACTCACAGAGATCCGCCTGGCTCTGCCTCCCGAGTGCTGGGATTAAAGGCGTGCGCCACCACCGCCCAGCTTATGTATGTCTTTTATACTTTTTTCTGTAGTTAGATTTTCTTTTCGCTGTTTTTCAGTCCTTTTTTATTTGTTTTAGAAGTATTGAAACATACTCAAGCTCCACAGACATCCTTTGTTTCTTTTGCAGTGTTTCTGACCTGTGGCGTTTCTGCTTTATTTTTGTTTAGAGTTTTCATCTTTCTGATTACATTGCCCATTTTTTCCTTGCTTTTTTTTTTTTTTTTTTTAAATTTCCCCACTAAGCCTTTAGCATGCTACTCTGTTTTAAATCCTGTCTGTTTTAACTACAATGTTCTTGTCGTACCTGAATCAGGTTTTTGTCCTTGCTCTGTTACTTCAAACTCTGGTGTTTTGTTTTTACTGTACCTTACAATTTGTTGTTGTTGTTGTTGTTGTTGAAAACTGGACATTGCTTGGCAAAAGTAACTCAGACAGACCTATAGTGATGTGATAGGTGGAGGTGGAGGGAAGCAGCCTGAGTCCTGGGAGACTCTGGGAATTTTGTCCTGGCATCTCCATTCTGAAGTTACTTTCCCTCTTTACAGTGAGTGTCCCCTGTTCTAGAACTTGATGGGGAGGGAATCATTGTGTGTCTGATCTCAGTCATCCAGTGAACTGGTACTCCGGACTTGAACTACTTCCCATGTAGTTTTTACCCAGTAGGTGGAATGGGGTGACTACAGTGAACCCCTATCCCCAGGCTAGTTAGTGATAATGAAACCCCACTAGGTTAAGCTCTTGCTTAAGGCTTCTGGGACTGGTTTTGTGAAGAACGGAGTGCTGAGGGTGTCTTTCCCCACCTCCTGTGAGATGCACAGTGGAGAATTTCTCTGGTCTCTACTAAGAACCTGGTGAGGCATCTAGAGAGCAAACAAGCTCCTGAGCCCACAGCCTGGAAAAGGCCTGTCCCCACGTGCCTTGTTCCCACTTCCATTGTTTCTTTCCGTACACCGGCCACTCCTAATGTTAGACAGGCTTGGGTTGAGGCTCGAGGTGG